TGATGAAACAGTGTTTATATTATCTGTCAATTTTCTTGCATGGACATTTACTTTAATTGCCATCCAATATATTCCATTATTTATCAATCCTCTTACTTAATTATACTTGTTTTTATTCTTTTTACAGAATATAAAACCAAGAAATGTGTGATACATAAAGTATTCTACATACATCATCATAAGGATTTCTCTTAAAGAATTGCGTTGGACTAACACATTATAATTTGTGTTACGCATAATGTGGTGAAACAGCAGAGCAGAAGTTGTCCATCTTTGTGCTGACTAAGGAATTACAATGTTTATTTTGTGAGCTAAGTGAACTGAGCATCTGAAAATGCGGCCATGGACTGGTTCCTGGCGTTGGATTATGCTCATCCTCTTTGCCTGGGGGACCTTGCTATTTTATATAGGTGGACACTTGGTACGAGATAATGAACACCCAGATCATTCCAGTCGTGAACTATCCAAGATACTTGCAAAACTTGAACGTTTAAAACAACAAAATGAAGACTTAAGGCGGATGGCAGAGTCTCTCAGGTAGGCTAAAAAATTATTCAGAAAACTTGTGTGTGGTGATTTAGAAAGTTCTTTGAAAATGTTTCATTTCATTGTTTATACATGTTTGCAAGATTAAAACACAGATTTCAAACAAACATTTTTCCTTTATGTACAAGGCTGCATGGTTTATTGTGAGGCAATAGTAAAAAAAATAATTGTATGGCAGTTACTTACTATACATGATAAATGATGTGTGACAGGATCTAGACAAATGTAATGTATCTTAATGCAGACCTTGATGCCCTAGAAAGACATTTTATAGACTATATATACAGTACAAAATAACTTATTTTAAAATGTTGAATGTTAACTATGTTATAACAAAGATGCATTCTATTAAAGAGATTTTCCTAAGAATTTGGATTGCTTGTAATTAACATTGACAAGGTATACTATATTGGAAAAAATGGTAGTGTTCACATTTTAGTAAATTCATTTACAATTTTATTAATCTGTGAACAAATTAGGTGTAGCATGTTAAGTATGGAGAATCCAATACTTTGGTCATTTTTGTGATTGAACGGAGCAGTGAGTGCAACATACTGTCAGCTTTGAAGTGATATGTCTACCCTTAGGCCCCGTTTAACCCAATGACATTTTTCAATAAGTTCCAGCTATTACTGCCATGTGGAACAGAATGCTATTCAAGACTAAATGCTTGCTGCTGCCAATTTTAAACACCATGTCTCTGGATAGTTTGGTAATCTGGACATAAGCAAATATTATACATTTTAATATGCCAAATATGAAGTCGTACAAAGTATGTAAGCTATACTTACCAGATGAGAGACTATCCCAGGAAGCAGGGACTCTGAAATAGACTTGGGGATTAGTGTGACATTGTGGCCGAAAGGGCTAATAAAATTCTGGATGTATGAACAGTGGAATTCTGTATTTGGCATTGGTGTGACCGCTACTGGAATACAGTGTGCAGGTTTGGTGTCCACAGTTCAACAAGGATGTCAATACGTTGGAGTTGGTTCACAGAAAAGCCACATGAATGATTAAAGGATTAGAAAATATGCCATATTATGGTGAAAGGCATAGTGCTCATTTTATTTCAATCACAAAGAGCTCCTCAATCTGATAGGCAAAGATATACAAGATCTAAGTACTAGCAGTTGAAATTAGACAAATTCAGATTATAAATAAGGTACAAATTTAACCAAGAGGGAAATTAACTATTAGAGAAACTTACAAGGGTCGCGGTGGATTTTCTTTCATTGGTAATTTATAAATAAAGGTTTAATATTTTTCTAAAATATGTGCTTTAGTTTAAAATAAATTAATTCAGAAAAGGCCAATGACCTGTATTATACAGCAGGTTAGAATAGATATCACTGCAGCCCTTTCTAGATTTATAATCTATGAAGTTCCATTACTTTTTCTTTAAACTGAATAGATTGAGTTCCTTAAGTCTTTCTTTCTAAGGCATGTTTTGTAAACCCATGAATAATTTAATAAAATCATAGAATACTAGAACTGGAAGGGACCTCGAGAGGTCATTGAATCCAATCCCTTCCTCTCATGGCAGGACCAAGCACCATCTAGAGGTTATTCTTGACAGATGTCTGTGTAACTTGCTTTTAAATATCTCCAGTGATGAGGATTCCACCACCTCTCCAGGCAATTTATTCCAGTGTTTAACCGACCTGACAGGAAGTTTTTCCTAATGTCCAATCTAAATCTCCCTTGCTGCAATTTAAACCCATTGCTTCTTGTCCTATCATCAGAAGTCAAGGAGAACAATTTTTCTCCCTGCTTCTTGTAACACCTGTTAAAAAATACTTGAAAACTTCTATCATGTCCTCTTTTAGTCTTTTCACAACTAAACAAATCTAATTCTTTCAGTCTTTTCTCAGAGGTCATGTTTTCTAGACCTTTAATCATTTTGAAAATTTTTTTTCTTTTCCTTACTGATACTTTAATATGGTATTTAAAATGTGGAATTGGACACAGTAGTACAGTTGTGGTCTCACAAATTTTCATATACAGGGTTAATACCACCTTTCTTCTCTTATTTAACATACACTTGTTTATGCATCCAAGGACTTCATTAGCTAGCCCTTTTTGCTGTTACATTGAGCTCTTGTTCCATTGTAGATCCACCATATACCTAAATCTTTAAACTCTTTCTTGAGTACAGGCATCTTTGTATATTCTGCACATGGGTAGACTTTCTGTGCCTGAGACTAGAAAAGATTACAAGTAGTCTCTGTCCAAATCTGTATCTTGGCTCTCTTCATGCTCAGGATTTTCCCACCTTGGACGCAATAGGGATGAAAAATCAGACTGAGGAAGCACCTAATGGAGAATGGAATACACTTTATCAGATCCCAGTTAGATACCTTACTGACAGTACCAGTCCATTGCCATGAGCAGGGCTTGACAAACAGTGGCGAAATCTATTCGCCAGCCTTGCACTGCGCATGTGCAAGACGCGCATTGCGCATGCGCGCGCTGCCGGTGATTGGGGTGACCGGCTGAAATCTACTCACCATGGGCAAGTAGAAACAGCGATTTGTTGAGCCCTGACCATGAGAGTCTTCCACCCACTAAGTATGTTGTGGAATTGAATCTGGTAAAACTGACAACTGGGACCTCTGTACTGTGGGGGGACACTGAGTCGACATATTACCCAGGAGGATAATGTTCTCTATTTTGAGGTCTAGTTCTTATGAGGGACACTTTGACCTCAGAAGAGGAAACTACCTAAAGAAGGAGTTTCTATCCACAAATTGGAGCTTCCTCCAACTGGCATTTATAGTACTGTCAATGGACATGGACATGGACCTGGCCTTCTCATCAGCTGAATCGGAAGTCGAGCAAGACCCAGAGGAAGCTAGACAAGTCAGGGCTTTGAGAGTTTTTGACCTGTCCTCTTCCACAGCCTTTCTGTCACCAACAACCTTGGAATGCCATAGAAGAATCAAAGGTGTGGAGACAAACATATGCTGCATCATCCACCTGGATGAGAGCCACACAACCTCATCCATTGGTTTAAAGTCACTTTTCGTGAGATGTTCAAGACTTGTGACCTAACAATGATGTAATTTGCTCCTGTTTCCGAACTCCCCTTTGGTTAATGCCTACCTTACTTTGCCTACAAATGGAGAGCTATCACAATGGACAAGTAAATGCTAGATTATCATGCACTTGGGCTACCCCATCACATTTCTTTCTCTACTTCCTGCATAACCTCTTTTTCGGTTCCTCTTCCAGAACTACTGGGCACAGGAGGTGGACTCTTTCTTTGTGATAGGAGCAAGTTCCACTCAGCATCAAAGGAAAGGATTTTACTAAACTATTTAATAATTCCTAGAAAAAAGGGAAGAGGGACTCCATTTTTAGCCCATACCAGCTAAATATTTTTATTCATGAATTACATTTCGGTGCGCAAAGAGTGTCTTCCAATACAGACTGGGTAACCTCATTTTAAACTAGATAGACCAGGGCAAGAGACAAAAACCCACAGGTAATTCCATATCTTGGTGAATGGTCAGAATCTAGGGAGAATCTGTGCAATCACAGCAAGAATTGAAAGAGAAACAAGTTGATATAGAGGGTATACGCAATTAATATCTTGGGGATCTGTATACTGATGCAAGAAGTTTGGGGAATAAAAAGGAAGAGCTAGCAATGCTAGTGAATAAATAATTATAAAATAATTACAGCACAGAAACTATGGGATGATTCAGATAACTGGAATATTGAAGGATATAGCTTGTTCAGGAAACACAGTAAAGGAAAAAGGAAGTAGTTGGTGCCTTGTATATCAAAGAGAAGAATACTGTTGCATGAAGAGTGAGATAAAGCGGGGACATAGATCTGTTGAAAATCTCTGAGGAAAGATAAAAGGATAATGTTATGGTAAATTCTATAATATACCACCTAATCAGGAAGAAGAGGAACATTAGACTCTTTTTTTAAATAAGTAACAAAATTATCCAAAACATGGTACTTGGTAGTGATAGGGGATTTTAACTACCCAAACTTTTGTTGGAAAGTGATACAGAAGAACACAGATTCTCCAGCATACTCTTGAAATGCATTGGAGACAACTTTTTATTACAGAGATAGAAAAAGTGGCTAGGGCTATGTCTAGACTGCATCCCTCTGTCGACAGAGAGATGTAGATTAGGCATACTGAAATTGCTAATGAAGCCGGGATTTAAATATCCTGTACCTCATTAGCTTAAACATGGCCGCTGCTTTTTTCTAAATGGATTTTTTTTCAGAAAAAAAGGCAGTCGAGATGTGGATCTGTCAAAAATAAACCCTTTTTCAACAGATCCGCATCTAGACTGCTGGTTTTTTGAAAACACTTTAGAAAAAAAGTGGTGACCATGTTTATGCTAATGAGGCACGGGATATTTAAATCCCAGCTTCATTAGCCATATCAGTGTGCCTAATTTACATCTCTCTGTCGACAGACAGGTGTAGTCTAGACACACCCTAGAGGAAAAGCTATTCTAAATTTGATTTCTTCCATACAGATAGGAATTGATTGAGAGTTTGAAGGTGGAATGCAGCTTGGGTGAAAGTGATCATGAAATTATATAGTTTATGATTTTGAGGAATAATAGGAGTGAAAAGAGCAGAATAAAGAATTTCAAGAGGGCAAACTTTAGCAAACTCAGAGAATTGGTAGGTAAAATTCTGTGGAAAGCAACTGTTAGGAAAAAAAGTTCAGGGGAATTGGCAATTTATAAGGAGCACAAGAGCAAACTATCTCAATAAACAGGAATGACAGAAAGTATGGTAAGAGACCAAAATAGCTGAACCAGGAAATCTTCAACATCCTGAAACTCAAAAGAATGTCACACAAAAAGTGGAAACTAGGTCAAAATAGAAAGAATGAATATAAAAAGAATCCACAAGCATGTAGGGACAAAGTTAGAAAGGTCAAGGAAAAAATATTTTAAATTAGTTTGGGACATAAAGGCTAGCAAAAAACATTTTAGAAATACATGGGAAGC